TTGTCAGAAAAACAATTTTTACTCAGCTGGTACTCTACCACTTAAGCCATGCTTCCACCTCATAGAAAAGCAATTCTTATAACAAAACCCTGGCATAACATATAATTAAGGTAGTGGCTACCTTTAAAATGATAGTGCTTATGTCAAGAAACCACTTTGACCAAAAATATTCTAACTCCTATACTGATATTGGCATAGGCTGTAAGCTATTTTAGAATGACTGTTACAGGCATTCAAAATGGCCTGTTTGTAAACAAGCATTCAGAGATTAAGTCTGGAAGAAGCCAAAGAAAGGGGAAAAAGGGCAATTTGAAACTTAAATGACACAGAGGCCTTGAAATTTGGTTATTTACAAATTTGGTTATTTCACTGGTCTTAACAAATGGGTTTAATCATTATTGCATTGAAAAAAAATTAACGTTGTTCTTTAAAAAAAAATACTCTGTATCCAGGAAGAAAAACAATGTTATCTAAATTAAATGGTTTTATAAAAATGATTTCAAAATAATATTTTTTCAAAGGAAGACAAGAAACTGGGAAAAAGAAAGGCATAATCTAATACCTAGGATGATGAGTGACAAATTTATAATAAAGAAGGAAATGGCCAAATCCTCTCAAGCATGACTGCCTGAATCAGGTAGACTACCAAAACAAGATCAGGCTGAGCTAGGAGCTGCACTAAGACGTGTGAAAACACTATGGATAACTGAGGTAACCGAGGAATCCAATGAATATTCAATAAGGCAAAAGCCTTAGGGAAGTCTCAATCCTAATGTGGAAGGCCAAAGGCCCAAAGCAGAAGACCTAAGGAAGTTCTAAGGCCTAACGCCTGAGGTGGAATTGCCTAAGGTAAAGGCCTAAGGAAAGCCTAAAGCTTAAGGTGGAAGAGCTAAGGTTTAAGGCCTAAGGTAGAAGGTGTATAGTGGAAGGCCTGAGGGAGGCCTAATGACGTAGTCAGAAGCCCTAAAGGTGGAAAGCCCAAGGCCTAAGGAAAACAGAAGTCTTCTCTAAACTACCCTGCAGTTAAAGACTTGATCTGATTTGATACGAACACTACTGATATGCATATTATTTACATTTTTAATACCATTGCCTTTCAGTTTCAATGATTCCCAAAGCCTTTTCTCAGTGACTCGGAGATCAGTGTGAAGTCCGTGGTAGAGCCGTTGGGTACGTAGGGTGGGTCTATTAGGAGACTTCTAGCTGTAATTCCATGCTTCATTGGATAAGCTTTTTCTGAAGGCAGACTGCAAATAATCACCCTGTACAAAGAAAATGAAATCAGATATCCTGGCTTTAATAAGTAATTTTCCAAAAATGATTACTTTGTGTACATTCACACACTCAGTCCCTTACCGGCCAGTCTTGTGTATTTACTTGCTGAGTATTATTCCTTCCACTCCAGTTTCATAATCTTCCTTCTTTTGGTATTAGAAGTTACATAAACAACTTTATCTTTTGGCAGCAGTTTAAAAACAAAGTGTAAGTCCTTTTTCTTTCTGTCTACGGCCCACCCACTGCACTTGACTGTATTGTGTCAACTTTCCAAGCTTTTCTCTCCAGCTGTGTCCTTGACTACCTGGCACGTGGAAAAATATAGCTGCTAGGGTTGTCCATGTGTTCAGTGGATTATGGGGACAGTGTGTTAATTGAAGGTCAAGGTCCACACTACTTCATGCCTTGCCTTTTGAACACAAAGGCCAATATCATGCTTGCCACCCTAGTTTTAAACCTGATACTTGGAAATGAGGAGGGTGTGGCTGAACTAAGATTTATTGAGCCAAACCAGCAACCAAATATTTGCACCTATAAGCACTGTCTCATAGAACAGGGGCTGGAAATTCAAGAAAGTTACCTTCCTAATGCCTTGCTGGCCTTGCCTTTTAAAAACGCCCCATTTAAACCAAGTTCATTGCTTCTGTCTGTGTCTGTGTGCTTCTGTGTCTCCATCTGTCTGTCTGTCTCTCTTTCTTGCTTTACTGGCTTGAAGTCATTTAGGCACTGACCCTCAGCTTTTTCACTCAAGTCTGGCATTCTACCACAAGCTACACCACACCTTCTGGCTTTTTGGTGGTTCATTGGAGATAAGTGTCTCATGGACTTTTCTGCCTGGGCTAATTTTGAATTGAGGATCCTCAGATTTCAGCTTTTTTTTTTTTTTTCTGTCATGGTGCCTAAACTCTGGGCATGAGATCTTCAGCTCAAGGCTAGTGCTCTACTACTTGAGCCCTAGAGCCACTTCCAGCTTTTTCTGCTTATGTGGTGCTGGGGAATTGAACCTAGGGCCTCATGCATGCAAGGCAAGTACTCCATCACTGAGCCACCTTCCCAACCCCAGATCTCAGCCTCTTAAGTAACGAGGATTTCGAGGTGAGCCATGAAGCTCAGGTGAGAGAAGCTTATTTCTATAATAGCATTTGCTGTTCCACAGATGAAAGAGGAATTGAAGTTGAAGACAGCAAAGTGACATTTTGAAAATGCCATTTTGGAATTGATTGAGAGTTACAAAACAATCTGTCTTAAAAACTTAAGAAATCACCATGAGGGATATCTCATTTGACAAGGTGATATCAGATATCACCTGCCCCTTACAAGATATGGATATGTAGTAGATGTGATATATCAAAGTGACACCAAATTCAAAGAAGAGATACCTTGGACCTAACTACTTCCTACTAGTACTTTTTTTTTTCTTTCACAACATGATGTGTAAAGGTTATATTCACCTAAAATAACCTATTTTATGACCTTCAATACTTAGATTCTCTCTCCAGCACCATTTTTGAGTTCTGCATGGATTACATGTATAATGCTTTGTCCAGGAACCTTTTTATGGAACTGGGTTAGGAGGACAAAATGTTAAAAGAGAAAAGGAATTTTTAGCTAGAAATTTCCCCATAGTATAAAATTGTCTTTTTTTGTCTACAGAGGACGGGAGCAGGATGGGGTGAGTCAGGACATGTCTAGAAGCTATAAGCAAAAAATAGTGTTTATAAAACTAGTTTTAAAAGGAAGCAATTGGGGCTGGGAAGTTGGCTCAGTGGTAGAGCGCTTGCCTTGCATGCCTGAGACCCTGGGTTCGATTCCTCAGCACCACATAAGCAAAAAAGCCGGAAGTGGCGCTGTGTCTCAAGTGGTAGAGGGCTCACCTTGAGCTGAAGAGCTGAGGGACAGCGCCCAGGCCCAGAGTTCAGGCCCCACGACCAGACCCAAAAAAAAAAATAAATAAATAAAATAAAAATAAAAGGAAGCAATTTTAGAAAATGGTAATGTATTTATATATTTGCTCTTGGCATTTTATTTTGTTTAATGCTTAAAACTCATTTTTTTCTTTCTTTCTATTTATTTATTTTTTTGTCAGTCTTGGGGCTCGAACCAAGGGCCAGGAGATTGACACTGAACCTTTTTGTATTTGGTCAATTGTGGGGCTTGAACTCAGGACCGTGGCGCTGTTCCTGAATCTCTTTGTGCTAAGGCTAGCACTCTACCACTTGAGCCACAGTGCCACTTTCAGTTTTTCAGTGGTTAATGGGAGATAAGAGTCTCATGGGGACTTTTCTGCTCAGGCTGGCTTCAAATTGCAGTCCTCAGATCTCAGCCTCCTAAGTAGCTAGGATTACAGATGAGAGCCTTTTGCTCAAGGCTAACACTCTATTACTTTGAGCCACATCTCCACTTCCAGCTTTTTGGTCATTAATTGGAGATAAAAGTCTCACAACCTTTCTTGTCCAGGTTGGCTTTGAACTGTGGTCTTTAGATCTGAACCTCCTGAGTAGCTAGGATTCCAAGCATGAGCCACCATTGCCCGGCCCCACTCCAAGTCTTCAAAATTCATAGTTGTTTACAATTTTTCTTGAAAAGCCTAATGAGAGCCCATAAAATTGGCTTTAGTTCTATGTTTCCTAAAAACAATGGAGTTTTTTTTAAGTTCATGCATTTTTACAGCTGACTAGGATATTTACATATATATACATACAAACACACACACACACACACATATATTTATTTAATGTAGTGGGTCTTTAGGGATACTAGTCAAAGAACAGGCTTTGCCCTACAGAGCTGTACTACAACCTCTTGGAATGACCTTGTATGTCTTGGGAAGAGCATGCTCCATGAAGCCAGCTCTGCAGAGAGGCAGGCAGGCAGGATGAATGACAGCAGGAGGGTCCATTCTAAGGGCTGTCAGTAGAAACATTTAACTAGGTCCGAAAATTTCAAAAAGTCACTGGATTCTCTCTCAGTTTCGGAATCACAGGCAGTGAAAGGGCTACTGAGTCACAGAACTGGTATGAGCTCATTCATGCTCAGCTCAGTCTCTCCGTATTGGAGACATCCAAGCCAATTGTCTGATTCTTGTATGATTCTACTCAGAATTGCTCTTTAGAAGCACATCATTGTTTCTAATTCTTATTTACTTTGTGTGTGTGTGGTACTGGGTTTAAACTCAGGGCCTCATGCTTACTAGACAGGTACTCTAGCACTTGAGCTATGCCCTTAGCCTATTTTCTTTTCACTGTTTTTTTTTCTTTAATAGTGCCTCACTTTTTCCCAGGGAGCTCTGGAATGTAATCCTATTATTTATGTTTTCTGGGAAAACAGGCATGAACACTGCACCTAGATTTTCATTGGTTGAAGTGAGGTCCTGTGAACATTTTTGTCCAGGCAGGCTTTGAATTGTGATATTCCTGATCCCGGCCTCCTGAATTGCTAGGCTTATGATATCCTACATACTTAGATGTTTATACTTTAACTCCAAAAATAGAGTAGGAGACAGCTGATACCACAGAAAAAGAATTGACTTTATAGTAAGCCAAACCAATCCTCAGGTCACACAGTATTAGACTTTATATTCCTGCTCTGAAGTGGTGTACAAGTACCTATGGCTCGGCTCAGGATACTCAAAAAGCTAAGCTAAGCAACTGGTGTTAAACACAGCAGAATGTATGGTATAGGACATGTGATAAATGAAGGCTACTTTTCTCTACTTCTTGCCCTAGGAAAGACCAGTCACAGGAATTCACCCATATTGGCCTGTGGAAGAATAAAACAAGACAAACAATTCTGCTTGTCTGGTATATGACACCTGTTTCCCTGTTCTGAAGGAGATAATGCCATACAACTGTTGTCAAAACCAAAGTGAGAAAGTGGTAGAGCATAGCTGCCCCATAATAGGGACTCAGTATGTGTTGGTTTGCATCTTTAAACTTCTTTGAAATACACCATCTCCAAAAGAGTGTGACATCTCTTGGTCAGCTGTATCTCTTGACTTCCATCCTGGATCATCTGTCACACTTGCTTCTACTTCGTGAATCTGGAATTGCCTTAGGAACAGTGCTTCTGGCCAAGTATGAAAACAGATTTAAGTTTCTATAACAAAAATTACAACTCCTTTGTATAACTCCTTAAAGTTAATAAAATATTTTTTAAAATGCTTCATAACAACTGTAGGACTGTCACTTCCAAAACAAGACCCCTTCCTTTTTGATATTTTCAACCACATAAGATGCTCAATAAGATCTAATTTTGCCATGAAATCACTTCGGAGCTAGGGAGAGTTTTTCTCTAAGCTATGGACATACCTCATTTGTCAAAGTGCCTCTGAGCTATCACATCCCTTTGTTTTTCCTCCCAGGGTTCCTTTTTATCAGGCAACATGGTTTGGATCCATGAAGGAAAAATCAGTACTAACAGACCTAAAAGAAAGTCTAAGCAAAGTTTGATAATCTCAGTCATTAGGCATGAAGGAGAAACTTTGTTTGAAGAGATAGTTTACTATGAGGTCAGTAGAATTGCTATACCCATTCTCATGGAGCCAGCTGACTTCATGAGCAATCATTGATAAACAATGATGGACACTTTTGAAGAGAAAACCATGAACATCTTTTTTTTTTTTTTTGTCGGTCATGGGGCTTGAACTTTGGGCCTGAGCTCTGTCCCTCAACTCTTCAGTTCAAGGCGAGCGTTCTACTAATTGAGCTACAGCGCCACTTCTGGTTTTCTGGTGGTTTATTGGAGATAAGAGTTTCATACCTTTCCTGCCTGGGCTGGCTTTGAACCATGATCCTCAGATCTCAGCCTCCTGAGTAGCTAGGATTACAGGCATGAGCCACCGGCCCCCAGCTACCATGAACATCTTTAAGACGATTTCATGGAAGACAAATGTGTATCTTCTTTGCATAAAATGTCCCATACAACATATGCAACAGTACACCTATTTAAGCATTTCAAACGAGCAGGAGGCAAGAGACTGCGAAGATCCCATGCATATTTTACGAAGTGTAATGTAAAATACAAGCTTTACGTCAGAGTTGACACTATGCCACACTCAAGGAGGAAAAAGAGTAAACAGCTAGAAGGAAGCAGGGTCTGATTGTCAGGTGGTTAAATAGGGTGTGATAGTGTTCTATCAGAAGTTTTGAACCATTTGACACATGTTCACTTTGCTTCAAACAGACCAAATGGAAAACATCTGGGCATATACACCAAGCAGAACTATGGGAAACATCTGTGTGTAAGTCCCACATGGTGCTAGCTATTGATGGGCTCTTCTGATCCCAGTCTCCCTATCCTTCTTTATAAGAGGGCTAGACCTCTGCAACTACATGCCCCAGACTCCCCAGACTTCCTGTTAGGCTGCACCAATGGGAGATGCTGGGGAGGTATCTGGAAGGAAATTGGAAGGCCCACTTTCTGTTTTTATTGGTTGAGTCTTAGCAGGAGCAATAGCACTAGTGATGGTACATGAACCCAGGTTTTTACTCAGATGGGAGAAATTCAGCAGCCAGGGATCTTATTGCAGCTCCTACGGCACAATATTTTCTGGCTGTGGACTTGGCAGCATGAGCATTGACAACCATTGGTAGGATTTAGCTTCTTGGCTTCTTGAAGGTTTCCAACACAGTAGGGTGGCAGTGGGTATCACAGAAGCCTCAGCCATGGAGAGCAATTATGAATTCTAAAGATTACCCTTTTCTTTTGTTCAGTCAGCCTTAGGATTCTCTTGTGATCTCAGCTTTCCCCTATTTTCTTCTCTAACCCTGCAACACATTAGTAGCCAATTTCCTGTATTAAATTCCTTCCATCTAAATTCCTCCTGTAGTTTCAGTTTTGCTGACTGGCAACTGGCCACATATAAACTAAATAAAATACGTGAAGGCAAATCAGATTAAAATTTCAATGTGTTTAATCTTTTGTCCACTTTGATTTTAGTGGCTTTTGGAAAAGGGGAGTAAGCAAATTGTATCCCCAAATTTGTTAACAAAATTAAGGTCCTTGTCATGTAACTTGAGCCTTTGCCAAGGGAAAGACATTGATACAGTATTCTAGACAAGAGATTCACTCTCCTCTAAGAGATTCCTGTCCATAACACTTGCCTATAATGACATGAGTAAGTACCTTTCAACAAGTATCTTTTTTTTTTCTGTCAGTTGTGGGGCTTGAACTCTGGGCTTGGGTGCTGTCCCTGAGCTCTTCAGCTCAAGGCCAGTGCTCTACCACTTTGAGCCATAGCACCACTTCCAGTTTTCTGGTGGTCAGTTGGCAATAAGAGTCTCACAGACTTTCCTGTCCAGGCTGGCTTTGAACTGTGATGCTCAGATCTCACTCTCCTGGGTAGCTAGGATTATAGGCATGAGCCACCAGCACCTGGCTATATGTCATATACTTTATATATGTTATTTCATCTAATTGTCATAATCCAAGAAATAAAGTATTATAATTCCCATTTCATGTGAGGAAAATAAGTATTTTAAGAGACTTGTACATTGTTTAGTGGTGTCAAAGAATAGAACTTCAATAAATTAAGTTTTAATGTTCTAGGTGGCTTTTATTGGTGATTTATGAGTCCAGGAGCATCCAGTAAGTATACAAGAGACAAGAGCTTTATCAGGAGTAGCTGAACAGTGGCAGGGTGGAAGGGTTGAAATGTAGTTTGAGTAGGAACAAGGAAATAGCATTTAACCAAAGATAGATTGATTAACAAGTTACTTCCGGTTACTTTCCTTGTGCAGGCTAAATCATGCCCATTCAAGCATGGTTGACTGAGTCCCTTCTGGTTGTTGTGAATCTGCAGGTTGGTTTTTGTTTTGTTTAGTTTTTCAACAACTAGCCTGTTTGTTGTGGATGTTTCAGGTTTTCAAAGTTTCAATTTGATTACATGGAACTTAATAAAAGAGACTTTGGTTTGGTCTCTTGAGGCCTAGTGTAGAAGCACAGTTCAAATCAGTGGCCTTCCTCAAATTGTATTTAAACAGTGACCTCTTGTTACTATGTATTTTTTTTTCCAATGTGACTTAGCTGTTCTCTCCAGCAGAAGTTTGTTTCTTCTTTAGAATTTAAGATGCTATTGAGATGCTAGAGTGCTAGCTTATAGAATATGCTAGAAGAGACCTGAGACTCAAGAAGTCTGGCCATTTCTGCCTTTATCCATATAGGAGATTATCCCCTGTAATGTCCCTGAATGTAAGCAGGTCTAACCTGTTGGAAGCTGAGACATCATGTGGAGAAGACAAGATGCTTCTGCCAGCAGTCAATACTAATATTCTGCGAGTATGGACTCTATGGCCCAACTTTGTCTGTCAGTGAATTCAACTGCATAAGCAGACGGAGCCAACCTAGAAGAGGAACTGCTCAGCTAACATACAGAATTACACAATCTTGTTGTCCTAAGCCAGTAAGTCTGTTATGCAGTAACATATAGTAGATAAAGTGATCACAGGTCATTTCTTTACATCAACATCTGTCCTGCTTGCATTTGTTGATAGCTTCCCAAATTCCTTTTGCAGATTTCTTATCTAGGGCTCAGAATGTGGCTTAGTGGTAGAGTGCCTGCCTAGCATGCATAAAGCCCTGGCTTCAATTTCTCAGTACCGTATGAACAGAAAAAGCCAGAAATGGTGCTGTGGCTCAAGTAGTAGAGTGCTAGTCTTGAGCAAAAGAAGCTCAGGGACAGTGCCCAGGCCCTAAGTTCAAGCCCCAGGACTGGCAAAAAAAAAAAAAGATTGCTTATCTCTCCTAGTCAGGGTGCTGGTACATAACTGGAGTTGGTCCAATGAGATACTTGTCCCGGCCATTTGATTTATGACTAGAGGAAGAAGAATTCTAGGTTAGTATACAGGAATTCTAGGTTAGTATACAGGCTGATTATGCTTTATCTGAAATTCTTGTTATCAGAAGTGTCTTAAATATTGGATTTTTCTCATATTTTGAAACATGTACACATACCTAATGAGGTAACTTGGGGTGAAACCAAACTCTAAACATGAAATTCATTTATATTTTATACATCTCATATTCATATTGCCTGAATTTTATAGAATGTTTTCAATAAATTTGTGTCTTTACCCAAGTTTCATGGCATGGATTTTGGAGCATTTTGGATCCCATATTTTCTGGGTAGTAATGCACAACTCACGATGAGACCTCATGATTGTTACCAAGATGTTTTGAAGAGTCTAGTTCTCATACATTCTAAATATCATCTGTGGCACTCTTTGTGTTTCTGAAATTGATAGTAGAGATGATATTTTAGCATTGTTTGCATGCTATTAAGTATTGTTAATGATGTTAATGTGAATTATCAGCCTGTTAATATTAATGATCAGCTGTGATTGTAAGCACCCTTTTGAAAGTTTACCTTTCCTTTACATGAGATGTTGGGAGTGGGGAAGATTTGATTCTCTACTTGACAGCTTTTAGATCCTTCCCTGGAGCCTCAGCTACCCTTAAGGAAGGACCACCAGCCAGACATCTGGACTGCCCTCAAGCTAGCATCAGCCAGGATGAACCCAAAGCACAACTCTGGCTTCAGAAGGCATTGCTTCACAAGCAGCTTGTCGTAGACTTTTTACTACCAGAAGCCTTGGACAATTCTAGGCTAGGTAGGAAACACTTTTGTAGCCTAGCAGAAAATCTGCAACCATGTAAAAACAGTTTCTTCACTGGCATAAGGTATAGACACCTTGACACACACCTTTTCTGGCTGTAGAAGCTGTTCAGCTCACTTTCCAGGTAGCCAGCGAACACTCTCTTATGCCCCCTGGTG